TGAGACAGCGGTAACAGCAGTGAGGAAGCACTGCAAGATGGGCGGGGAGGAACATGAGGAGGTGGTGAGTTGATAAGAGGGGAGGCAGCGACAGTGCTGCGTGTGCTGCTTGACGGGCGTTTGGAGCAAGTGGGATGAGGGGTATCAAGATGAGAGGGGCGAGGGACGGCGCCGCCTATTCATGACAACAGGCACTGAGGTCGTAATAAAAATTGAGATATTATTACAAGTAAGATATGCAGATTAAATTGATGGCTAAGGAGACTAACAAAGAAAGCAGAAAATGTAGTTAAAATATAGTAGAAAGAAGAGTTAGTGTAGTAAGAAAACAGGGACTCGTTTTTTGTACAATTTAAAAGGGTCCCTTTATCTCACATTGTTTATTAAATATGAGTCCGGTGTTGGGAAAAACCGTTATATCCTGCAAAGAGGAAAATTTGCAGATGAAGCCATTATAGATCTGACAAGAGTTTAATCGGATTAGGTTATGAAATCTGTATCGATATTCCTAATAATCGCATTACAAAAGCCATAAAGCATATTTATTAAAATAGTACGCATTTAACTCAAACATTTTTAAATGGTTAGTAATCTGATGTTCGCGAGTCTAGAATTTTGGGACTTCCTATTTTGTGGTATCTGTTGAGCCTGCTTAAAGCTGTGCTCCGGACTGGAATTGCGCAGTCCAAAGAAGCCTGCAAGAGCGTCCTCCAAGAGCACCATTCAAGGGAAGCGTCGGTGCAAAGGCTTCGCGGCGTGAATTGGTACGCGTCGGAAGCGGGATTGCAAGTGAAAGGTGTGGTTGCAAACGGAGATTTTGCAAGAAAGATGGCGGAGGATTTGACGACCGATTTGAATACAAACGAAGGTGGTGGGAATTAAGAAGTAGGAAGAAAAACGTAAAATATGAGAGAAGAAAGGAAAACTAATGAAGCTCTGGAATAGAGGGCGTCACTTGCTGGCTGCCAAGGCCATAGCTTCAAGATTATTCCGGGGAAGCAGGTTGCTGTAAGGTTTGGACCCTTAAAATATATTTTTATCGCGTCGTGCGCAAAACACTGTAACTCATGCTTCTCTTTTCCGTATGCGAAACGTTTTTTTCATTCTCACACGTGAACATTGCAAATCGTGCGCGTAACATCGTGAAGGGTGGGCGAAAGATCTTGAGCACGTGGCTTGTTAACAAATTGCGTTCGCAACACGCGCGCCAAGAGTTTGGAGCACTACTTCGTAATATTTTAATTATGAATTTCTAGTTTAATTGTCACATAAAATTGTGGGGGAATTGATGTGAAGGAGGAAACGATGTAAAGAGGGAAGGATGTGAAGGAACATATGAAGAAAAATTTCGGAAGCATGCACGGAGACATGTGTAGAACCTGTGGATAACATGAAGGGAAAATGTTGAAATATGTAAGAAAAATGCGTGTAAAATATGGGAAAACGTGTGGTGAAATACGCAGGGCAATATGCGGCCATGTGGGAGAACAATTAGGCACACATGAGGGGACAGATTGGGTTCACCTTACGTACCTTAATCCGCGATCTTTAGAATTAGAACTGTTTGGACATTCTACTACATTTTTGGAGGTTCGGTCTTTAAAGGTACCCTCACTCGCTAGCAGCGGTGATCAGAAACGAGCACAATCTCGAAATCTGACTGCTCTGGTCGGTAGTTTTTTTGTGGTTTCTTCCATCAATATTAGGCGAATTCCAGAGCAGTACCCTAAAAAACGGGCAACGGACCACGCACGATCTTTCCTCCTCTTAACTGTCCTATTCTCAACCCTTACTTACACACACTTACGCTCACAAGCACTGATCTATCACACATGCCGGGTGACCGGTCGGTCGAGAGTTTAGATCTTGCCCCGGTTGGGGCGTGACCCCGCTGGTGGGAGATACCTGGTTGAGGGAAACCCCTCTAGCCGACGGTAGGTCGGTGCCGGATCAAGCCATCCAGCAGAGGAAGATCATCGCCGACTCCTGCGAAAAAATGCACTACACTTACGGGAATGTGGACTTCAGCCGCTGACACGCCCGGAACCACTAATCAATCAATCAAGTATTCGAAATCAGGGAAAAGTAACTGACGGTAGGAATTATGTTCAGTTCTCTTTCAACGCTTAGTAATATTAAAGGTTTACCCTCCCGCAGTACCGGACCTGTAACGCTGTATCGCATGGTTCAGGGGCCGTTGAATGTTAGGTTCCAGTATGCAGTCATTTTCACTTTTAAAACAATCATTTACAAATTACGGAATGTTCGCCCGGGTCAAAATAGATAATATAAATAATATTTAGCGCGTTGTAGAACATCGTTGGAAGTAATTGCATTCGTGGAATTGTATTACATACCACTCATGCATTGTAAATTTCCAGATAAATGACTAAACAATATTCTCATTTACAAATTTAATATTCAACAATTTCTTCTTGTTTACAGAAGATTCTCAAAATTCGAGGAGACTTCAGGAAATATTACGATACTTTAGCAAATTATATTACTTTTTCATCTCAGCGTCATCATGACTTTGATATAAATAGTGGTATATGATAATGTTAATTAAAAATGGATACTTTTAACGTTTGAATTTGTCAAAAAGAATTGATCGTAAAAAAATTGATCGAGTTTAATGTGGATCTCCATCGAGTAAGGGTCATGATTCAGTTACAGCATGATTAAAACGCTGAAATTTCATTTGTTATGTAAATATCAGAAAGATTGGTTGCAGTTTAAAATTCTTCGTGAAAGTGTTTCTTTGTTTTCAATGAAAAAGGAAATCTTGATTAAACGTTTAGGTTAACTTTGAAACTGTTCACACCATTTAAATCTGAAAAAATAGATTTAAAAAATTTTGTTTTTTTTGTCTCTTCCCAAACCGAACATGCTGATTTTAGATATATACTATATATTAACTCGTAATTCAATGTTACTCTCTCTTTTATAGAGAATCCAAAATAATCTGCTATAGTAATCCATTTTCATCTCAAAAACATTCGACAAGTTTTACTATCCTTTAGGGTATTTTTTAGACAAAATTAAATTTTACATCACTCGCAACTGTTTGGCAGCATAATCATGATCCAATCCCGTTAGCCAGAACGTCATTTTTTATTTCAGGTCGTTCACCTCCCACCCCCAAGAACTCCCCCGGCAACTGCCTGGAGTCGGAGGCGCATTTGCAGAGGCCCTCGGGAGGAAGCGGCTTCCGCGCCTACGCGTTGGGAACTCGACCCGAGGGCGGAGGGGCCCAGGGGGAGGGAGAGGGGGAGGGGGAGGGGTGTCGCGCGAACGCGTGAGCGCAGACGGGCGCGTCGCAGCTGCTGCGTTGTGGGGAAACAGTGTTGACGTAGCGCTGACGTTGACCTCGCATTGATGTGGGCGTCCGGCCCGGGCCAAAGGATGGGCGTGCTCACTGCAGCAGTGCTGTGGCAGCGCGTGGGGGAGGAGCACATAATTCATTGCAAATGTTGGTGAAGACTACTCGTGGGTGAAATTACTTTGATCTGAAACAGCAACATTTGTTGTAAAACGGGGTTTCTGCATGTGTTTTGAAAACGACTGCGAAGGTTTGTAATTTGGTTACAAAATAGATGTATTTGTTGAAAACTGAAGCAAACTCTTGCAAACGCGATTTTCGTTTTGAGCTCTTGTTTATTCCCAGCTTTATTGCAATTTGATGGATACAAAAGTGGAAATTCGGGTTTCAATAAAGGTGCAATATTACGCATTTCACGAAACTTAATAATGAATTGACTTTTTTGTACTAACAAGGAATAAATAACAAGTTATTGACATTGCTTTCCATAGTGAAATACTCGGTAACTTGGATAATACGATATTGACCTCGTGTCTGTACAACTCTACATCAGTATCTAATTGCTGAGAAATATCCCTTTTAATATTTATCCTTTTTGTCTCGTGACGGATTTCTATAGTAGCATCTTTTGAAGGGGTGTGTTCATTAAGAGCTGAAAGATCTACCGAGATTTAATTTTCATAAAAATAACACAAATTCTCTTTGTATTATTCATATTATATTACTAATATACATGTATGACGAATAATGTGTGAAACGTATCCACATAAGAGGGTAATGTACCAGCAAGATTTAAGAATCTCAACTTCGACCTTTGTTCGACTTTGTCACCTCTAATGCCTCACGATGCACTCATATTTCATTCCCTGTAATTATAAGGTATATAAGTGGCACTTCTTCCTTATGAAACTCAATTATCCATACATTCCGATCATTAATCAATCAATAGGATTGTTAACAATTCAAAATCAGTGGCAGAGTCGAACATGCCGTCAGAACGAACTTCATTGACTTGACCCCAAATTCTTCTAGGCTTGATGCCTTTGTCTATCGACGGAAGAATTATTTTAGCGGGTGACTACGTATATTGAGAAGTAATGTGAACCAGTATCTTTCTAATTAATATCAGTACGAGTTTGACAGTTAAATTGTGTCCGGGAGAAATTGTGATAAATACATTTTTATTATTTGTCCTTGTATATTATTTTTTTAAGAAATAAAGCAAAATATAACTAGGTAACAACATGTATAAATTTGCATAGCTAGTTGTCCTACCAACATTAAACATAATTGGAAACTTATTTGCTCATATACTGATTGCTCATGTTCACGCACCTTCGTATATATTCTAATATAATAAATATGTTTACTCTAGGAATATCTACTTATTTTTTATTAATAATTTTTAGGTCTCCCGCGCCTTCTTCCTACTAAAACAATTTGGCCTGCAGTCAAGAAAGTTTGAAGAGACTAGAACGAACCAAACGAGAAACGAAAATGCTCCTGAACAACACACAGTCGATTGAAACTTTCACAGAAAACATTTGACTTTTTGAGAAACGTTACAAGAAATCATTTGAAGCATCTGCACTTTTAAATACAACGAATTAGCCATAAAGATAAGGCATGGATATTAGCGGTGTTGGGCATTTTGTAGCAATAATAAGGCTGAGCTTACCGCGCGCGACGGCACCAGGCAGTCGGGTCCCGCGTATCCATGCGGGCACTCGCACGAGTAGTTGTTTCCTCGGTCCACGCACAGATGATGCGCTCGGCACGGGTTCGGGTCGCACAGGTCAATCTGGGGACACAGGCAAGACGGTGCGATTGGTCCATTGTCTCCGAGCGCCGTCAAGGCACAAATCGACAGTCAACATGCGATATGTGTTATCGTTGATAACGACTCAAAAATTAATTGGATACAAATTAAGCCGTAATAACCAGTAGGCTCGTCTGGACTAGGAGAGAAAATAACGATTGTGTGTGGAATTGATGTTCAACAATTATATTAATAACTTATTCAGAGTATATTTTTGCACTCAAACTAAAAAAAAGTGAGTCACCACGTTAGTAATCTTCACCTTACTTCCAACACTCTGGAGTCATTAGCAGACACTGGTGTCATCTGAAACTAACTGTATACGGAACATGCGGACTGGGACCACTTCATGTTGTCCCTTTCACAAGGAATATCAATAAATAATTTAATCTGAACATCTTCACAATCTCTCCATTGTCATCGACCACTTGAAGCCGCTAATAATGACGGGTACGGAATAACTAGCACGGTATTTTAAGGACCTACAGTCCATAAACAGACAAAAACATAATTTTGAATTAATTACTAATTTTAGCTGAAAATTACCATTACTTACTGTATGAATACAATAACGCGAGAGGTTTGTAAAACAAAAAGCAATTGCAGTTGTTGGCGGAATGCAGTGAGGGATGCCAACGGATGTTTTTAAATTACAATGGGTGCGAATACACTGCACTTTTTTACATCTGTAATTTGTAAATCGATTTATTTGGGATTTACACTGCAGTTACATATAGATGAAGTAAGCGATTATACAGGGTTAGTTAATAAAAGGGTTCACCGCAAATAGTCTCTAAACGGTTGAAGATATTGAGATGGAAAACAAACCCTTCAGTAGTAGTTATTAACTTTATGAGAGCATTTTTTTATTTTAAGTATATTATACGAACTTCGTTCTTTTAATGAAACATTACACTTTTCACCCACGAATAGATACATTTTGACGAGTAAAAATATAGCAATACTACATATGTTGGTTTTTGATGGGAAAACTCTTGGGATGTTAGCGGCGAGGCTGGATTTCTAGATATACGGTCCGAGAGCGTCTTATCATTCGCAGGTTCAAAACGCCCTTGATTTTGATTCTAACCCACGTATAACGATGTAACGCAAACATAACGATGCCGCAGATTGAAATTATTACTCCTGTTGTTATCAGCCAAGTTCTTTAAGATCTATCTTTGAAGAATAGATTTTATGAATCCAAAACTCTGTATCTATAATATTGTAGTTGTAGAAAGGCTCCGAAAAAATTTGAACTTTTGAGGTTTTTGAAAATTTAACAAAATTGAAACCTATGTAATTTTTAAACGCCTTTTGCTATCTTCGAATATAAAAATTTAATAATATGACTATAACTTAATAAATTTGGAGCTTTTTCTGAAAAAATTATGAAAATGTTAAGGTTCCATGTAACACACAAAAAATATAAATGACATTTTATAAAATCTGAGAAAAACGTATTTATTTTAGGCTATATTTCAGTGGTAATGTAGTTTCGTGGTTTAAATGCTGTGGTATTTATGATGAAACAAAGATGGTGATCTGAAAATAAAATTTTGCCGTTTTCTTTAGAAGTTGGTTCGTAAAGAATATTAATAAAGATGGAGATTATGAATGATCGACGAATTTTTACTTACAAGAAATTTTCGTCCATGAGTGTGGTAAGTGTGAGGAAACAGCAAGTACACCCCGAAATTGTCGGAAATGTCGTGAAACAACGGAGCGAAAAAGTGTGCGCAACCAATAAAGTTGGCGATCGAAGCGCCCAAGTACAGGAGTAGGAAGTACCACGTGACAGGAATTCTAATCAGCGCATCTGAGTGAACAAGGAAGAGCGAAGTTTGAGAGAGAGAGAGAAAACTCAAGTAAGAGAGAGTGCGAAGCAATGCGGAAGCCTGGAAAGACGCATTAAGGCGAAAGCAAACTGACAAAGTTGAGCACTTAGCCCCCAAATAGTCTACACGCAAGCCCGAAAGATAACGTGTGAAACCTCATTTGCAAACAATTATTAAGATCTCTTTTTTGCGCCCGCATCAATACAACGAATCGCGAGAACGCGGACACGAAGCACAATGCCCGACCTTCGAGTGTAACCGTTTCGAGCCACATCGCGCAACTATGGCATTCGCATTACTCCGCCTCTGACGCAGATTTAAGCTTCTCGCAAGTCGTGCGGTGTCGCTCTGCATGTGCCTTTTGCCGATGAGGAACCGGCAGAGTTCGGTGCGGGCGAGGCTTCTTGCGGCGACAGCGGGAGCCGGAATTGGGGCGGGGGCGGCGAGAGCGGAGGCCGGCGGCGAGGCAGTGGCGGGGCGGGAGGTGAGGGGGAAACGGAGGCGGGGGTCGGGCGGAGGCCGGGCGGAAGCGGGGGCGGAGGGGGTCGAGGCGGGGCGGAGGCGGTCGGAGGCGGGTCGAGGCTGGTCGGAGGCGGATCGGAGGCGGGGGTGGGTTGGAGGGGGGTGGAGGCGGGGGCGGGGGTGGAGGCGTGGGGGAAGCCGGAGGCGAGGGCGAGCGAGTCGGAGGCGAGGGCGGAGGAGGGCTGGAGGCGAGGGCGGAGGCGAGGCGGCAGCGAGGGCGGAAGGCGAGGGCGGAGGCGAGGGCGGAGGGAGGCGGAGGCGAAAGGGCGGAAGGCGAGGGCGGGGCAGGGTCGGAGGCGAGGGCGGAGGCGAGGGCGGAGGCGAGGGCGGAGCGAGGGCGAGGCGGGGTGGAAGCGAGGGCCGAGCGAGGGCGGAGGGCGAGGGGGAGGGAGGGCGGAAGCGAGGGGCGGAGGCGAGGGCGGAGGCGAGGGGAGGCGAGGGCGGAGGCGAGGCGGAGAGCGGGGGCGGGGCGGAGGCGGAGCGGGGGCGGGGGGACGGCGTGGGGAGGCGGGGCGGAGGCGGGTAGGAGGCGGGGCGGTAGGCGGGGCGTGGGGGGCGGAGGCGGGGCGAGGGCGGGGCGGAGGCGGGGCGGGGGTGGAGGCGGGGGTGGAGGCGGGCGGCGTGGAAGCGGGGGTGGAGGCGGAGGCGAGGGCTGAGGCGAGGACGGAGGCGAGGCGGCAGGCCGAGGGCGGAGGCGAGGGCGGAGGCGGAAGCGAGGGCGGAGGCGGACGGCGGGCGAAGCGGAGGCGAGGGGAGGCGAGGACGGTGGCGGGGCGGAGGCGGAGGCGAGGCGAGGGCGGAGGCGGAGGCGAGATGGCGAGCGAGAGCGGAGGGCGGAGGCGAGGGCGGAGGCGAGGCGAGGGGGAGGCGAGGACGGTGGCGAGGAGCGGAGGCGAGGGCGAGAGGCCGGAGGCGAGAGCGGAGGGGAGGCGAGGGCGGAAGCGGAGGCGGGGGTGGGGCCGGAGGAGGCAGCGAGGGCGAAGGCGGAGGCCGTGCGGTCGTTTGCCTATTGTTTGCATAATGGGGAGCCTCGCCCGCGACGCGCGGCGTCTCGGAATATGTGGAAAATTAGAACGGTCGCGGTGTCACGGCTCGTTTGCCGAAGCTGCGAGTTGGAAAGTTGAAGGGGCTGACGCCAAGCAGAATGCCAAACTTGTGCCGTTCACATTTAAAGGCATGGAGTTACGACAAGTGTGCATGTGTGCGTGTTTATGTTTTGAGTATGTGTGTGTAAGAGATAACCTGGGCGTGAGCGTGGAGAGGGGTGAATAAAGGGCGGCGATGATTGAAAGAGAAACTGTAGTTTTGGGATGGCAATATGTACAATATAATACTTGTGTCATCCCATGGTGCAGCAATTGTGAAGGACCTTCGTTAAATTTCACAGTCAAGTAATTTAATTTTTTAAGTTTGATGAATTTCACTTTATTAATTTGTTCGTTATTCTTTGCATTACCGAAGATATATGTCTGTGTTGAGGAAGACAATAAAGTACAAAACAATACATTCTCTACGAAATGTTAAAGCTTTATTACGATGACCAGAAAAACGTTTAATCACTTATCTTATTGTGTGAATTTAGTGTTATGACTTCTGTATGTTACTGCGGTTGTTTATTATTATTTTTTAAACAAACCATGGCTTATTACTTTTGTTTTACTTTTTATTTCCTCCAATCTTGCATCAATAGAAACGATTGCCGAAAAATATGAAGTGTTCTCACCGCAGTTTTAGCAAAAATTTTGTAATAGCTCACTTCGGCAAGTCATTTATGTTCCAAAACCCGTATGTACAAAGCAATCACTAATGTTCATCGAATTTAATTGTTTAATTGACCAATTTGTGGCTAACCACTATAATTATATTAAAATAATATATCAGTTTAAAAAATGTATGTTTTAACTTCCTATCATTTAGAATTTTTATTTCATTCTATCGTGAGATTATTACACTGTAGAGAAATACTTTTTATGAAAAAATAAATATTTGCAATTAACTTAGTTCTTGTCTTGAAGGAAGATTTTTACTAAAAGCTTGAGGAATGTTTAAATGAATATTAATCATCATCTTTATTCCTAAGTATGTCATTTATTCATTATATTATTCTCGGACTATATATCCAAAATTGTTGTTAATTTTTTTCTTTTATCTCTGTTTTATGTATGCAAAATCATTATTCATTCAGTAAAAAAATGTCATATTACAGGAAGAGAACATATATGACTGACTATATATAAATATTGTAATTGCGCAAGTATTATTCAGAAAATTGTGACATATTGTAATAATTATATAATGGAATACAATGAAGGGGAATGAAATCATAGTATTCAATTACTAAACGTCTGCAGCACAAATACATATAATTAATCGCGCAAGGGGTCGTCCACAACGCTGAAGAGCGGAGGAGGAAGGCGTTTGAGGCAGCCGTACGCTGAGTTACATAGGGGTAGGGGGGGTCATTGTTTATAGTATTACGAGATGCCGATATCTATTTTAAAACTTTTTCAACATCTGCTGACATATGTCCTTTTATTCAGTTTTGTACTAAAACATTACCGTATTAACAAACTAAATTAAAAATATAATAAGTGAAAGAACCAATATTCTAAAAATTGTGAC